CCTGACCCTATAGCCAGCAAGCTGCCAAACCCTTCCAGGTTACCACATCAGAGTCCAACCCACCCTACCATTGAAAAATCCTGATGGTATTTTTCAGATTTTCCTGGAATTCTGAAGGCTGTGCCACTGTCCCAGTATATTCTAAGGGTCCTTGAGGCTACCCTTCTAGGCATTCTCCTGTTCGAGTAGTTTCCTTTACTCTCTCCCCAAACACCATCCCTTCCATACTGTGAAGTAATGACAGTGTCCTGGAGCCCATAGTCTCCCAGGCCTCACTGGAGCCCCCGTTGTACTTTCTTCCTCTAAAAGTCAATTTTGCCTTTTTGGAGACAGAGGTTGAGGATCTGCTCGCTGTCTGCAGGGAATGCCCATGCCAAGAGTCACCCACCTGCCAAGCACCCCTTCAGACAGACTCTCAGACAGCCGGATCTCATCCTTTAGGTCCTTTTAAAAATGCCAGCAGATCTTACCTTCTCTCTCCCATCCTGTTCCCAGAATGCTGTAAGAGTAGCCAAAAAACCCCTCATCTCCCAGAATCACCCCATTCATTGATAGTTCAAGTGCAAGTAACAAAGGGGGCCATCAAATGCATATGAGGAATTATGCCAGACGCTTCATTCATCCTTCAAATGCCCACAAAACGTCTGCTCCTTGCAGGGAACTGCTCTTCTACTCGTTGGGACCACGGTCAGCTCCTAGTGGGGAAGCCAGCCTAAACGTGAGAATGAAATGCCTGGGCAGAGTCACGACAGACAGTGAATTAGTGCCGCAGGGAAGTAGGTCTGCAATGGTTGTGGCAGTGAGTGATGAGGACCACCTCAGAGAGGGTAACCAGGCCCTGAGGTCACGTTGAATGGAGACCCTAAGAATAAGTGGCTATGTGGGAGCTAGGGGCTGAGTGTCCCAAGCAGAAGGCCCTGAGGTGAGAAGTAACCTGTGAGTTACAGAAAATGAAAAGAGTGAGGGGGAAGGGGACACGCCATGAGATCAAAGGGGTGAGCAGGAGCCCCGTCATAGGAGGTCTTGGTTAAGGATGTGGTTAAGGAAGATGGATTTCTTCGTGGAGCTGTGGAAACTAATTGGAGGGTTTAGGTAAGACAGCGACGTGATCTGACACCATTTCAGAGGTTACCTCTGGCTGCGGTGTGGAGAAGAGATGGCGGGGCGGGGCGGGAGTAAGTGCAGAGCCATCACTTAGGGGCAGGTGCTCATGACGGCGCCTCACTCAAAGCTAACAATCCTGTGGCTGAGGAAAGGGAATCGGAGTCTCAGAGACATTGTAGCTATGCAGTGATAGAGCCAGAATTCAAACCCAGGGCTTAACTCCTCTTAATAGTCACGCTATTTAAATGCTTTATAATACTCGTCACGACCATGTACTAAGTATTTGTTTAATCCTCACGACATGGCTGAAGGTATGATTACTTCCATTTTACTGATGGGGAAGAATGCTTGAGCAAAGCAAGGATTTCAGTGATATCAGGCTGGCCTCCTAAATGAGTTGGATCCTAAATGCTAGAAGAAAAAGAATTGCTTTAAAAATGGAGACCAGAGAGGCCCTCATCTTTTCTCCCTCACTGTCTGCACATCTCTGAGTTCCCTGAGCATTTTATTCCTCTTTGATCTCTGAGTGGCTTAAGTGTGGAACTCACAGGGCGACTGAGTACAGTCCACAGTGCTGGGGCCTTGGGCCCACGGCCACCATGCCCATTAGTCCTGGGTCTCTTGCATTTTCATAGGAATTTTAAGATTAGCTTGTCGATTTCTGCCCCCCCAAAAACAAAAAGATGGGATTTTAATAGAGATTGCATTGAATTTAAGGAACCAATTAAAAGTTGGTTCTGGAACTCTTTTTTTCTTGGTCAGTTTAGCTACTGTTTGCTTCATTTACAACATTTTTTGTTATTTTTATAGTGGTTGCTCTGGAGATTTATAATTAACATTTTAATGTAAAGCACTATAGTTTGGATTAATACTAACTTATTATTTTTTTTTTATGCCTACAGCACCTGGTCTTCCTGAGCAGTCTCCCATCCAAGTACTAACCAGGCCCAACCCTACTTAGCTTCCGAGATCAGACAGGATTGGGCATGTTCAGGGCCGCGTGGCCGTAGAATACTAAGAATATACAAAAACTTTGCTTTGTTATAGCTCCAGTCTCTCCCTCACTCCTTCATACCATTAGTGTCATGCAAATCCCACCATTATACATTATAGGCCTATCAACACAGTTTTGTAATTATTGCTTCATGCAGTTGCCTTTTAAAGATAAAAAGACAAAAAGAAAAGAATTATAAACAAAAATGTTTACACTGTCTTTCATTAATACCTAAGTAGTTACCTTTACTGGTGTTTTCTGTGTGGACTGTTACCATCTAGTGTACTTCCATTTCAGCTTGCAGACTCCCTTTAGTGTTTCTTATAGGGTATGTCTGCTAATGACAAATTCTGGGTTTTGGTTTGTTTGTTTTTACCGGTGATGTCTTCATTTCTCCATTATTTTTGAAGGAGAGCACAGGGTTTTGATCCATTCTTATCCAAAGCCTGCTACAGTCTAGAAAAGGTGGCCCAGTGGGCAGGTAATCCTGTCCTTATGCCCTTTCTCTGGGCTTCGATTTATCCTACCTCCACCACTTACTGTGTGACTTTGACAAGTAACGTCCGCTCTCTGTGCCTTAGTTTTCTCCTATAGAAAATGGAGATAAC